CAGGTGGGTGTCACAGCCACGGCTGTCTTCTTTGCATTCAGTGCTGGTGAATGCAGAGGATGCCAGGCAGAGAGGATTTCAGCTCCAAGCCTCCCATGTCCTCGTGGCTGCAGGGGCCAAGGAAACACTAGGATTATAGGCTGGACTTGATGATCTCAGAGGTCTTCTCCATCTTCAATAATTCTGTGACTCTGTAACACCAGGAGGAGGCAGGCTAAGAAAATGGGGTGATTTTATTGTTTGGGGAGAAAAACTATAGCTGAAGTGTGAGAGGGAGACTGACTAAAAGGGAATAGTAAAGCAGCTCAGGAGTGGAACCCGTCACCACAGTGCTGCAAACCAGCTCTTTGGTCCCTCCCTTTCTCCTGCCTTCAGTGTTTTGCTAGTTTTGGTGTGTGCAAACCTGTTCCTTTGGGGCCTCCTTACAGACCAACAGAGAGAATGAGTTCTACAGCAAGCTGGCTGACCTGCACCTGGAGAAATACAACTTTCCTGTGGAGATGATCATCTGCCTCCCCAACGGCACAGTGGTATGTCCCTTACTCCTTCAGCTGGACTTGGCTCCTCCTGTTAGAACGTGTTCTCCTTGGGGTCATCTGCAGACTCTGAAGCCAGTGTCCACTTCCCCAGCCACTGCCTGGCTCCTCGAGCCTTTGTGGGGCTGTAGTCCCTCAGGTGCTGTGCTTCTAGGGATGCTGAGCCAGACAGACAGCAGGTCTGCCAAGAAATCTGAAACAAATGTCTTGTTCTTCAGAGGCAGAACAGCAGCAGCTCTGGGTGGGGAAACAACCAGACTTGAACCCAGTGTCTGCTTGTGGTTCTCATTGTCCCTGATTGGAATTGGTGACCTTGGGAAGTCATTGCAGCTTGTTTCCTGCACCCATTGTCCCTTGTGCTCCTGCTCTGGAAAAAATATCTCCTTCTCAGCACCTTGTAGCACGTTAATCTTTCTCTTGATCCCCAAGTTTGTCGCAGCAGATCAGCCACGAGCAAGGCCACGCACTTGGATTCCCCCCTGCAGCCCTCTGCCTTGGATGTCAAGGACAACAGCAGCTCCTGACTCTTGGCAGTGTCTTGGTGGGGTGTGTGTGTGTATGTGTCAGGGGCTGGGCTGTCTGCAGGGGGGAGGACCTGCCAAGGCTGATCTGACTGTGCCCCAGGCTTGCCAGGTATTAGCTGGTGACACACAGAGCTCCGTTTTACACCTCCAGGGTCTTTCCCAAATCACCTTCATCGTTTTCTTAACCTACATGAGGGGTCACCACTCTAGGGGAAAGAAACAAACCGTTGCCTTTCACACATCTTTCTCTGACTGTAAAATGCAAAGAAGGATCCCAGATGCTTAATTAGCATCTGCAAAGTATTAGAGATTCTTTAAGAGTTGTTACAGTCTTGTCACCTGTGTCCTGGATAGAGGCCAAGGCAGTGGATGGGGAATTGTTCTGGCCCTTAAAGTCTCTCCTCATCTGTTTTCTTTCCCAGGTTCACCATATCAATGCCAACTACTTCCTGGATATTACTTCTATGAAGCCTGAAGATGTTGAAAATAGCATCTTTAGTTTCTCATCCAATTTTGAAGACCCTTCTACTGCAACTTACCTCCAGTTCTTGAAGGAAGGACTGCAAAGAGCAAAACCATACCTGCAGACCTAAAAACAAAGGCACCTGAATGCCCCACAGAGATGGCCAAAGACTTCAGAGATTATTTTGATTACAGCAGCTCTTCCTCACCTTCATGGCAGACGTTGGTGTTAAGATGCTGACAGTCCCAGGACTGGGGCTTCACTTTGGATGTTGGTTTGAGTATAACCTGCCCTTTTGAGTTCAGGCAGATTTTTACAGGAATGAAAACGAATCTATAAACATTCTCAGTGCACACACCTCAGTTTGCTGCTCACCCTCATGTTTTTCCAGCTCCTGTTCAGACTCTGTAGTGAAGCTCATCTATCCCAGGCATCACCTGGAAGCTCAAGGACTGGACTGTGTGTTGAATCGTGGAGAACAGCTTTGAATTATGACTGAACACTTGTGAGGAGCAGAATCTGGTGCAGGAGGGAAGCTCCCTCCTGGTGGGTCTCCACACCTCCCTGCCAGCAGCAGCCCTGAGCTGGAAGCTGCCCAGGGGCTTGAGTGCCAGCTCTTCACAGCAGCATTTATGGACAGTGGTGGCAACCAGAGTGTAATGAGGCTGTAGCTGTGATGTGTGGACATGAGTGTAGGAGGTTCCAACTGGAGCCCAAGGTCGGGCATGGCCTCCTCCCAGCACCCTGTGTGACCTGGCGGCAGAGCAGTCTCACTTACTCAGGCTCTTTGCATCTGAGGGAGGTGCTGAGGGTGACACAGTGAAATTAGGAATGCAGACCAGGGCATTAGAGATGTGATGCAGCTCAGAGACATCAGGTATGAATTAACTCAGGGGAATTAGGGTCCAGAGCCCCTGTTAGCTGCACCAGCACAGGCTCCAGGACACGGTAGTGACCAGAGCCCGCACCCCATTCAGCCCAGTGCCATTCCCATCCCACCAGCTTTAAGAGCTTTGTTCTCCCAGTGTCTGCTTGGAGATGGTGAAATGCTCTGTGTCCATGTTTGCTCTGAGCTTCCAAGTCACACTGAATGATGAACCACAGTGAAGTTCCCTTTGGGAATGGGAGGTTCATCATTGCCCTCGGAGCATTAACTGGTTGAGAACTGAGCAGTTTTAAAAGCCATCAGTACTCAAGAAAAATTCAGGAGGTTTTTCCAAAGAATTTTCTGGGACAGAACACCATTGTCCCTTATCTGTAACCACCCTGAGCTCCTACTCTGTACCGATCCCTGGCTACAGAGTGAGCATAATTTGAGGGAGAAAAGGTTAAATGAAGGGGGTTTTTAAGCATATTCCTATAGGTAGGTGAGGAGACAAAGCATCTGCAAACAGCCATGGCTGATGCTTTTCCTGCTCTCTGAAGCACAATTTTTTGGACCAAATCAAACAAGGGGAAAAGCCTTTTCATTCCTGGTCTCCAGGACCTGGGAAGAACCCAGGGATGGTAATTGTCCTGTCCCCTCCCTGCTCCAGCCCTCCTGTCTGTATCTGTGTCTGGAGACTGAGCTTAGATGGGCTCTGGGCTGAGCCAGTGTAGCTTCACTAATTGCTTGACTGGGATTAATTACTCCTGGGATGTTTCTCAGTATCAGCTTTATAACTATGCATTAGCTCTGCTCTTTCCTTGCACTCCAAGGGGCCAGCAGTAATGACAGGCTTGGATCTGGCAGTGCTTGCAGCTGCAGAAAGTGCCAGAGCCTTCAGGCAGCGTTGGAGACTGAGCTCCTGTCACACCAGCAGCTTCATCCCTTCAGGGGGCTTTGGGTCTTTTCCCTTCAGGGGATTTTGGCCCGAGCTGAGAGCAGCAGAGGAGACCCAGTGCCTCCCAAGAGGCACAGCTGCAGCATAGATCTGCCCTTCTGGCTTTTACAAAGCTTGACCTGAGGTATTTTTGCTTTCCCGAGCCCTTCAGTCAGGGGCTTCAGATTTTGAAATGGTGTCAGTTGTGCCTGGGTGGACATTTCATTCTGGTTTGTTCTCCTTCCCACCAGCTGTGCAGCAGAAGGGGCCAAAGGGGGCAGTGGCTGAGCAGGCAGGGATTGCTTTTTTTCTCTTTCAAGGCTTGGAAGAGCAGGCACAGAAGCAGGGCCAGGGGAGCCCCTCAGCCTCCTGCAGTGCCGAGGTCAGGAGCTGCAAGTGGCAGAATTGGTTGTTTGATCCTGCAGACATGGAGCTCCCTCTCAGCAGTGGTGCCTGCTACAGTCCCACACACAAGCTGGGTCCATGCCTGAGCCTGTGGTGAGCCCAGGCTCACACGAAGCTTTGGGGATCCCTGAAAGCACCTTGTTTTTGCTCTTGTGAACCACTGGGCTCTTGTAGCCCTGCCTGGAGCCACCTGAGCACTCCCAAGCTGTTTGAGCTTAGGGGAAAGAGGGTTAGTCTGAATACTCTCAGGGGGAGCCCAAACAGCCACCTCCAGGCTGGGGCAATTTGGGGAGACAGGGGGGTCTTGATTGTGTCCCCCATTAACTGCAAAGCTTAACTGCAAAGCTGACTAATTGATCCATCAGCTGCAGCAGGTGGGCTCCGGACAGAAGCTGTTGCCTGAGGCTTTTATTAATAGGTGCCAAGTTATTTTGTTTTCTATTTGTAAACTCTATTTTATCAATAAGGTTTTTTGATACCTTGAGGAGGGAGGAGGTGCTGCTTTCCCCCACCTGCTGTGCTTTGTGATGCTCTGGTCCCAAACCTGCACAGGGTCAGAGCTGATGTCTGCTCAGCGAGGGTCTGGGGGGGAAGCACACGCGGTTTGGTGCTGGTTGGTGTGAGGGGTCCTGGAGCCCCTGGCTGTAGCTGGACTTGTTAAACCCATCCCACCACCCTCAGCCTCCTGCAGTCCTTGATGGGGGGTGGCTGGGCCAGGTTTGGGGCGGTTTTTGCAGCCCAGAAAGCCAACTGTGTCATGGGCTGCATCAACATCAGCGTGGCCAGCAGGTCAAGGGAGGAGATTGTCCCCCTCTGCTCTGCTCTTGTGCCCTGCAGTGCTGTGTCCAGGTCTGGAGTTCCCAACATGAGAAGGACATGGAGCTCTTGGAATGAGTCCAGGGGAGGCCATGAAGATGATCCAAGGGCTGGAGCAGCTCTGCTCTGGAGCCAGGCTGAGAGTTGGGGTGTTCAGCCTGAAGAAGAGAAGGCTCCAGGGAGACCTTAGAGCACCTTCCAGTGCCTGAAGGGGCTCCAGGAAAGCTGGGGAGGGACTTGGGACAGGGGCAGGGAGGGAGAGGACAAGGGGGATGGATTAAAACTGGAAGGGAGATTGAGGTTGGAGATGAGGAGGAAATTCTTGGGTGTGAGGGTGGTGAGAGCCTGGCCCAGGCTGCCCAGGGAAGCTGTGGCTGCCCCATCCCTGGCAGTGTTGAAGGGCAGGTTGGATGGGGCTTGGAGCAACCTGGGCTGGTGGGAGGTGTCCCTGCCCATGCAGGGGGTGGGACTGGAGGATCCCGACACCCCAAACCCCCGG